ATTAGAAGGAAGAACTGGAGAAAGCTTAAGAAAAATCAAAAGAAAAAACGAGACCCTCAAGAGAAAACCGAAAAGAGTTCAAAAGAATATCAACGTTACTATAAACGGCTGAAAAAAGAAAATGAAAAACAAGAAAAAATTATAAATGCGCAAAGAAAAAAAATACAAGCACTTAAAAAGAAAGTCTATCGACAAAAAATTCTCCTTGATTGCCAAATGTCGACAAATGTCTCAGAACAGTCGCATCCTAGTATTCAAGAACAACCACTGTCACCAAATTCTAAATCAAATGAAATTATCCAAACCATGACTTCTCTTTCAGAACAAGACAAAAAGAAAGTTAAAAAAGTTATAGTAGAAAATTCTGTTATAATGGAAGCAATCAAGCAGGAATACATGAAAAATAAAAACATAAAAAAGGTTTTGAGAAATATCTTTACATCACAGATTGTACGAAAGTATAAAATGCAATCAAATTTGAGACGAGTCATTGGTTTAAAAAGCAGGATCCGCAATCTTTCAAAATGTGTTGTTACTAAACGAAACAGCAAGTTGGTAAAAAAAATTCGACACTTTTACTTGCGTGATGATGTCGAGCTTCAGCGGGAAAAAAAGAAACTAAGACCTACAAAAAGCAGAAACACCAAAAACGGTACCTCCTCGATACCATGTCAAATTTACATAAAAAGTTCAAGGAAGAAACTGGTATCAAAGCTTCTGTCAACACATTCCGCAGGCATAGACCTTTTTATGTGGTCAAACCACGACTCTCAGACCGTGAAACATGTGTTTGCAAAATTCACGCAAATATTGAGTTTAAATTCCAGGCACTACAAAAAATTAAGGTCTTAAATCCAGATGTAAAATTAATGGATATATTAGAAGAGATAGTATGTGATAAAAAAATCCAAGGAATGTATGTATTCAGAGTGCAACATTTGTAAAACGGCGACTGTAACTTACAATATTAATGAGAGGAAAAAAAACTACAATGTTACCTGGTTTGAATGGACTACGACAAATGTGGAATATCAAAAGAATAATGAGATCAAAAAGACTAAAAAAGTAGTTACTGAATTAAAGACTGAAAAACTAGAGATCCTATTAAACCATTTTGAAAAAGAACTTAAAAAGTTTAAAGAGCATTATTTTAATATTTGGCATCAATATAATGTATACAGAAATCTTAAAAACAGTCTGCAAAATAATGAGGTTATGATTCATTGTGATTTCTCAGAAAATTACAGTTGTAAGTTGCATCGGCAAATACAGGCTGTCCACTTCGGTTCGCAAAACCAAATTTCGTTGCACACAAGTGTGATGTATATTCAAGGTTCGCAACCTCAATCATACTGCACCCTATCTGATTCAACAGATCATTCACCAGCAGCAATATGGGCCCACGTAAAACCAATCCTGATAGATATTAAAACAAAATATCCGGAAATTAATTCTGTTCACGTATTTTCAGATGGGCCTGCCACCCAATACAGGCAAAAAAAGAACTTCTATTTGTTTAAATTATATCTTGAAGATTTGGACTTCGAAAAAGGAACTTGGAACTTTTCAGAGGCATATCACGGAAAGGGGGCTGCTGATGGAATCGGAGGAGTAATCAAGCGTCTTTTAGACGCTAAAGTGTCGCACGGAATTGATATTTCGAACACCGCAGTAGCCTATTCTGTTCTCAAAGAAGACACAAATGTGAATCTTTTCTGTGTTAACGAATCTGATATCATCGAGATAAAAAGCAGAAATCAAACAGCATTCGAAGCTTTAGTGCCAATTCCATATACCATGAAGATTCACCAGATACAAGCCGAGTCAGAAAACTGCTCAAATGAAGTAAGGTATCGAGTTCTGAGCTGCTTTTGTAATAGCTCAAGCTTGAGAGGGTTTTGTGACTGTTTCGACACTAGAAAACACCTTCTGATAAAGCCACGTCCCAAAAAGCGGATTAGGCTAAGTTCCTCATCCGATACCGAAAGTTGCCAGCCTTTAGTATTTAAAAAACAGAAAGATAATCTCACCCCTTTTACAGCCGAAGGAGAACTGATTGATACATCTACTGCCATTCAGAAATCTAAGTATAAAATACCTGATTCCTCTACCAATAAGACCAAAATTCCAACTGTATCTGGTGTTGATATTAATGACTCTGATTCAGGTGGTTTAGATATATTTAATATATCACGCGTTGTTAATAAAACTACATTGCTTGATATTAGGACGCCTGTGAGTAATAAAGAAAATGTTGACCGTAATAACAATGGCATCAAAAAACTAAAAACAAAAGAGGCGCCTGTGACTATTTTGTCAGACGTTCGCGTTAATTATTCACTTGATGATTTAAAGCAAATAATTGGTACTAAGAGGCAAAACGTTCCTTCATGTTATCTCAAAAAAGACTATCCTGAAATGTTTGAACAATCAGCAACTGCACCAACAAAGAGGAAAAATTTTTTTGATAGTTCTAGTGAAAGTGAGTAGGAGTATTCTATTGTTGCTATTGATATTACACATGTTTTATTTGTTTATATTTTGGGTAATATATACATTATTACTTATTTTTCTTTTAAGACTGCAATTATGGTTCGTTTGTTAACAGCTCTTGGTTAATCATACAATAATAAACAATCAAAACATAATATTTAAGTATATATATAAGTTGTCGTTTTTGTAACGACCCAGAGCTCGGGAGATGGTTACAACGATTGAGTAGAACACGAGATTTTTTTTTTATTTTGAAAGTACCTACCTAATAATATAATTTATTATTATTGGTTTGTAACAAGCAATAAATACTTTATGTAACTAATACAAAAGGAACAACAATTTACTAATAATAATTAAAGTTAACTAGGCATGAAAAAAGATCCTAGGTACCTACGCAAGTTTCGCGGCGCGGTCAGCCGGCAAAAAATGAAATGCGCTGGGCGAGGTCGTGAACTCCGCTCGACCAGCTGATTTCACACCCGCGCTCAGGTCCTTACAGCTTGTAAGGACGTTACGGAACTTGATGGCTGTGGCACGGTAATAATATCATACAGTATTCTATCTTCATACAAACGGTCGGAAAGCGAGTCATACCTACGCCACTCGAGTTCGATGTGCTCTCGGCGTGCACCCAGTCGCGGATGCACCACCGCGCCGCAACGACGACCGAACGGTCTGAATTGTTTTTTATGCAGTTAGTCGTGCTTAAACGTGCGTTTTGTATTGTAAATATTTGATTTAATTAAGTAGATACCTACATAAATTAGTATGGAAAAGAACAAACGACGATCAATATCGTACAACAGCACAATTGCTGTTTTTGGTTGCTTGAACTCTTCAATAACACACCCAGAGATATCATTTTTTAAATTACCTGAAATATTGGAAAGTTGTCTTACCTTTATAGAATATTTTTATATACCTATCTACTAGTACGTTATTTGTTTCTAATATTTAGGTATTTCGGTTTTTCCATCGGGCAAAATATCTGGAATAATATATAAATATGTAAGTGGTTAGGATGAAACAAGAGACAAACGAGTAATCTACCTACACTCGCGTTAAAAACAAAACTACATAAAATACTGTAGGCGGGCGGCCCTACCGCGTGCCAACGCAGCGCTCGGTGTAGGCATTTATTTTCAAGGACAGGGCGGAGTCACAATACTGTATAGATAATATTACCGTGGCTGTGGTTGTCTTTAATTATTATTATTTTTGTTAAAATTAAAAAAAATATATTACTTAAAAAATATATATATTATATATATATATTCCTAGAGATCTACTCAATCGTTATAACCTGAGCTCTGGGCAGTTACAAAAACGACACCTAGTATATATATTATAATAATATATTATAATAGGTATCAGGTACATAACACATATAAGTTCCTATAATTTAATTAAGATTTTTTTAATATTGGGTAATATGATTGTTAAAAGATGTCGTCGAGAAATTAATGTCTTATCCCCTTGACTTTTTATATAACAATGTTGGTTATATTTTGAGAATGTAAGAGTTAATTAGGTATATAAGTATAATTAAGAAATATGTGAATTGTAAATTCTATTCTAGTCTTCTGAGACTAAATCAGTAAGTACCAATGTGAGAATCTCTTTTTTTATTAATTAAACAAATCATAAAAATACATTGTGTTTTATTGTGCTTTTGTGTGTTCGATCAATTAAGTTAGCTAAATAATTATCCTTTATTAAGTGAACTGTGAAAAGACCCTAAGTTTTCATCTTTGTTACCTTTTTGTTACGAATTTCATTTTTGTTATGGTTTCATTTTGGTTTCATTTTTGTCACAATGGTCATTTTAAATGGTTTTCACCCATTTAGGATGCTGTTGGGTTTGCCAAGATTCTGTAGTGCCTCTGGTACGTTTGCCGAGGAGCGCACTGACGGTTTTCACGCATGCATACGCAAAAAAATAACTTCATTGCTGAGCAGAATATGAGCAAGCTCAAACACCATCCTAATGACTGTTGCCAACAAAATGGATAGTTGCTTTATCAAGCATTGTGTGAGGGTGATGAAGACATAAAGAAAAAATCATGTTGTACTGTCCTAATCTATTATTTCTAAAACATATACTACTAACATAGAATAAGTCTACTAACAAATATGGATCACAGTTATCTGAAATAAATGCATTATTATTATTATTTATCGTTGTTAAGTTCTTCCCCATATCATACCTGATTTTTGGGATCCTATGACAATCATTCTTTTTAAAACTCTCATTATTATTGGTTTGTGATTAAGTATTCCGGTAATAGAAATACATTTCTTTTAAACTATCTACCTTTAAAAGGGTAATAAGATTCAGTCCACAGATGGACAGCGAAAGCTTGATAATGGGGTTTCGTTATATGCCAAGACCCAAACGGAGTATCCTGTGAAACCTCTCTCTGACGTAGGCCAAAAGCGCTTAACGGTTGAAGCAGGATGATGCTTTAGTTCTTCTCTGGCTGCAATGTCAGAACGCAAGTGACCTGGTGGTAGCGGCGTGGCCGCCGCGCAGCCGGAGCGCGCCGCGCCGCCACCGGCCCACGCGCACGTACCGCCACCCGCCCGCGCCGTCCGACACCAGGTTCATCACGTCGTATTCACTCAGCCTGGACAGAATGTACTTTGTGAAATTCGTTCCTTCTTCTCTTTAAGATTAAGTAGAATATTCTATGTCTGTTGGTGTGCCTCTGGGTTGACTAGAGATATAGAAGTGCTTTTATTTTCGTAACCTCAAATTGACGCTGTGTCCATTTGTGCCTTAAAGCAATTCTGAACATAATTTAGTTCACAAGTACGCGCGCGCTTTGATTTGAAAAGCAATCTGAGATTTGCTTTTTTCGTTACTTCGTAAATGCTCATCGAGCGACGCAGATTCACGTTTGTGTACGATCATATGAACGATTCTATTGTGTCTACCAACTTAATCAACATTATAATAATTTTAAATTGACCCAGAGTTTTTAAGCATACTCATCAATTGTATTTTCCTTTGCACAATTAGTTACAGAAACAAATAAGTGTTTGTACAACATTCAAACAGTTCGGTTTTATTAAGCACTCGAATGCTTGCTAGCAAGCATTCAAGTGTGGGAAGTAACCCCCACAGGTGTCTAGTACTATATCTGAATTTTACAGGCATTGCTAAACATAAATAAATGTAAGTAAATGTACAGTAAGCTCTGAGAGACAAGTGAATATTTAGAGAAGATGGAATATTAGGGGTTGTACATAGGGTATACTAGAGGTCTCTTACTCAGGCGGAGGGTCACCGTTGCTGTCGAACGCAACGATGCCGCCGTCGGGCGCCCGGAAGCGCACGCGCGCGATGTAGCGGCGGTACAGCGACACGTTGAACGGCAGCATGGCGGCACACAGCCCCGCCCCCGCCCCCGCCCCCGCCCCCGCCTGCGACGCGCCGCACACCGCGCCGCGCATGTCGTGCAGCGCGTGCGCCAGCGTGTACACGCCGCGAACCACCAGAGCCAGCTTCGGCTCCTGCGTATAGCCCGCTGCCAGTGACTCTGAACCTGTTTAAAGATATTACACATTTTTATGAGCTGAGTATGTTAATAACGACGAATAAACCTACTTCCATCAAAATCATAATTCACCTGTACATTTACGTTTTCCGGAAGACCCTTCTTCCAGAGTGCAGTTAAATTTTTGTTCCCAGAATTCCTGAACAGGAAAAGTGAATTTTGTACTATATTTTATTTACGCATTAAGCTGTAACATTTCTTTTAAACAATTATTTTTGTCCCAGTTACAATGAACATCGATACACAAACGCACAAGTCTCACCTTAAACCATGGGTTTCTGTGGTTGGTATGAGGTTTTAACGAGTGGTAGTACGCGTCGAAGTGCCTCAGGTATGGTGATCGGATGCGCAGCGTGAGCGAGTGGTGCGCGACGTGCTCGAGGCCGGCGACGACATCGCGACGGTCGGCCCAGCCGTCGCTGGCCACCAGCCGCAGCGGCGCCGACGCCGGCGAGTGGGGTGCGCGCGCCTGCCCCGCCAGCAGCGCCCGCGCAGTGCGTCCCTCGCACCAGCACACGGCGACGCGCGGGCCGCCCGCCAGCCGCAGCAGCGCCGCATCCACCTCGCTGTCGGTGGGCGCCGCCCGCAGCGCTTCCTCACGCGCCACGCACACGCCGCCGCGTGCCGCTTCCTCGCGGAACGCCGCCATGCCGCTTTGACCGTAGCTTTCTATCAGAAAACCTTTACACTTCTCAATTAAAATAACTTGTATTCCGATTGTTATCTTATATCAATTCAAAACCTAAACTGTAAGGAATTTAGTGAAATATAGAAATCACTGTAAGCTATGATAAAGGACATTGTTCAGCGACATTGTTCAGCGTCCATACATAGTTAGCCTAAGAACCAACAATCATGAGCTATTATTTTCTAGGTTCGAAATCGTAAGTAAATGACTGTAAAAACAAAGATTATTGACGGACACTTCTGAGAACTTAAATTTATGTTTAATATTCAATGAAACATAGGTCAATCTATGAATTTAGTATGAACTCAGTATGAAGTGAATTAATATTACAACTAATTCATTTTATTCGGTGCGATTTTAAAGAATAACTATTATGAAAAACTTGGTTAGGTAGGAATCATGATTAAAATAAAAACTGTAGTTCTGCTTCTTATTTATTGACTATTTTTCACATAATTGTATCATATTGTTTATTGTATTTATTTGTATATCACATGTATATTGTGTAAATAGAATATGTATCAGGTGTTCTTGAATAATTTGGCAGTATGATCCTCTCAGAATGTTGTGGCACAGGTTCACTAGCACTTGGTAATAAGGCCTGTGCTCTTTGGTAACATCGATGGCATATTAGATAGCAAAAATAGTTGAATTAAAGGAAAAACAATCGCAAATAAACACACACAACAGGTAATTCGAAACGAGAATGCACTTTCCGGTATATTATACTACTCTTTGGAATGCACGAATGCCACAGATTACTACGAATGCAAACTGCATACACCACAACCACAGAGTAACGAGTTTTATGCCGGCCCTTCACTTGACAACAGTTTGTCCTTGTCATGCTTAATAAGCAATGAAAAGGACAGACTGATGTCATGTTTTAAAATAGCAAATAGGAATAGCCAAGTGAAGTGCCGGCATTAGGAAGAAAGAGTGTTTTGTTTGCAGCGTTGCCATAGATTATACACATAAAATGGTATTTATTGTTTCAGATTATTTTATAACTTTTTAATTTAGCTTACTTAACTGGAAGTGTCCGTCACAATCTAAATACTGATAATTATCGCAAAAAATATACTAAGAATTATCATAAGTGCCAAATTGGTGTTGGTTCTTAGGCCAATTTTAACCTTGTCCTTTACGTGAAGAAAATTTCGTATTAACAAAGTGTATTGTGAATGTGAAGGTTCGTCGGAAATTCATCGGACGAGCGAACTATTGAGGTGGGTCGCTGTGAGTCGACGCGTCGCCAACCAACACAATCAGCAATGAGGATTCTGTGACATGGTCAGCTAAGTGTTGAAACAGGTAGTAAGTAAATGTAGCACACATTTACTTTTTGCAAATATATAAAAATAGTGTTGTATATGCCCAGATTGCCATGCTAACGCAAAAAAAGGGTGGTGATTATTCGAACAGTACGCTCGAGTGGAAACGTGACTCACCGCAAGAAGGTGACTCACTCCGATCTTAATCATGTGTATAGGGGTGGACCACGAATTAGAGAAGATCAAAAGGAAAAGGAATCAGTCCGCCTGCCGCGCCCCCTTCTTGTTACATTTACTAGAAGGTTACAAAGAAAAGTCTATGTATTAATGAACGACTTACATATGAGGCTCATCAACTTTTTCGTACCACCCGATAATGGACTCGCGAAAACAAATACAAGTTTTGTTGGGTACAAAATGGCACCGTTTGGACAATTAGAAAACGCTAGGGACGTGAGGGTAGCCTCACGTCCCACGACTTCGCAATCGCACTGTACAATCTAATTTAATATAATATATTTTAGTTATTAATTTTATTTTTTAAGGTTTTTAGTTTTATTGTTCGTATATGTGGGACACATTGGAGGTTACAATTCTCTGACACTTTCTCCTCTAGAAAGAGCCCAAAGGAGTGTTCTAAAAGTTACCTTGAGAAAACCCAAAAGATATGCAACAAATGCTCTTTACGAAGAAGCTCAGAAGTCCTGCGCATCAGAAAATTATACTGGATGCGAGTAGTCGTCTCAGTGCACAAAACAGTGATAAAGGGCAATAAATACAGTGAGATGTGGCAAAAAAGAGTGTCCTCAATACCCAATACCAAATGTTATTGTGACTACCTCTTCTGCTAAACGCTTGGGAATCTTTCTCGGTCCATGCAGTAGATGGCAACTCGGATTAATCGACATGACTTTTCAGCAAATGAAAATTTTCTGACTCCTTTGGAAACGTTGTGTCTGATATAATAACTAACAATTTCGCATTATGTATATTCAGCCAGGGCACGACAAATGCTAGTTTTTCATCTTATTCACATGTAAGAATATAACTGAATAATTCTGAGTTGAAGCATTTATGAAATAAATCTATAGAAAAGTTTACTAGAAAAACAAACCACGCGGACCAGTCAGCGGACGGGACTCGAACCCGCACCCTTCGCAATCGGGGCGAATGCACTGACCAATTATGCTACCACGGCCCTATTCGCCGCGTCGAAATTTTCCTAGCCTTAAGCTGCAAGGCAGCGCCATCTCTTCGCATTATAGGTAACCCACAATGTCAAATGAATACTTTTTCAAGTATTAAACGTTTGAAAGAAGAAATAGCAATTATAGTTATGTTTTTATTTATTTTTTTGCATTTAACTGCTAGATGTTTAAATCTAAAGAAAAGTTTACTAGAAAAAACCTGTTTCGATGCGGCGAATAGGGCCGTGGTAGCATAATGGTCAGTGCATTCGCCCGGATTGCGAAGGATGCGGGTTCGAGTCCCGTCCGCTGCCTGGTCCGCGTGGATTTTTTCTAGTAAACTTTTCTTTAGATTTAAACATCTAGCAGTTAAATGCTTAAAAATAAATAAAAACATTTATGAAATAGCTGTATTCAGCAACTAACCATCCGTATGCACGGCATGTACGTAGGTCCAGTTGTGGGCCCGCAGTAGCGCCACCATGAGGCGCGCCTGGTGCAGGTCCGACGGGACGACGCGGAAGAACGTCGAGAACCGTGCCCGGTCCGACAGCTCGCGCGACGTCGCCGAGTACGACACCTGCCGGTTTAATACTTAACAACATGTTTATAATGTCATATAACAAAGCCCAAAATCACTGCTCTCCTCAAAAGGAAAGTAATTAAAGCCCCTGTTCTAGGAATAAAAAATGGGATGTCTGTAGCGGGCGGGATCGTTACAGATGCCAAGCCCAGTATTTGCTATGAAGGTCGTATTTTTTTTTATTTTTTTTTTATAGATAGGTCCGACAAATGACTCCACCCCACCTGATGTTAAGTGAAGGTGAAGTCCAGACGTGACGATAGCTGATACAGCAGTTTTACCTGCCACACCAGCCATCTTCACCCTGCCGGCCTGCATGTTGCTTCTTCACGCCTCTTTTAAAGGATCCCAGGTTGTAAGAGGGAGGGAACACGTGAGCGGGCAGAGCATTCCATTTACGGATAGTGCGACAGAGAAATGAGGCACCAAATTTCTTTGTACGCGTTGGAATTGTGGCCACAATTAGACGATGACAACGTAGGCCAGCGGGCGTGGTCCTCTGAAGGAAAGGAGAAGGTGGGATAAGAGAGAATAACTCCTCAGAACACTGGCCGTGGTACAGACGATAGAACGCGCTTAGTGACGCCACGTCACGGCGTAATTGAAGAGGCTCAAGGTATTAGTTGTATATACGATAATTTATAAAAATAATAATAAAATAAATAAAAAAGTTTTTTTATTAACATAAATCCATACAATTAAAAACGATGAAACGGTCCCAGTAATTAATTGAAAAATACTTCTGTTGGGCCTGTTTCGCTCCAAAACCTTTGTAGCCAGTTAACAAAAATATGAATTTAGAAGAAAAAAATATATATATTTAAATTAATTTCACAATTTAATACAAGAAAATCATCTTTAAGTGATTAGGTAGTCCCCACATTTAGTGCATGAGAAGTGTGTGAGCATGATTTGTTGAGTTGAGAGTGTGGTGTGAGTATGTGTGAGAGTGTGGTGTATTTAGGATGAAAAAAAAAATTAAGTTTTTATCATTTTTATATTTTTAATTTACTTTTGATTAGCAATATTTTTAATTCTTTAATCTATATATTTTTTTAAATGTTTTCCGTCTCTTCATAAGTTAATGACTTAAGCCATTTCTCAGCTACTTCCTTACACACGTGCTTTTTCCTATAGCATATATTAAGTATTTGTTTCTTAGGTTTCGTGCAATAACCCGTAAAAACTAGTTTTATTTATATATTAAGTATGTTATTAACCTTATTATAAATAAACACTGATTGGTTACTATATTGCCGTTACGCGAACTCTGTACGAATCTTGCCAGACTGAGCAACAACGTGCTTGCGTCTCCTGTTAATTTTGTTTGGATCAAAAAGTAAACTTTCGTACATTTTTAGTATAAGATTTAAAATATATAATTTTCTAATTGTAAAAAGATTGCTTATTTTATATAGATCGTCAGTGGGGTATTTCCATGGTAGAGAATACATTATTTTGATAAGTGATCTTTGCGATCTTTCGAATTCAAGAAGTTTAGTTTTTGTAGCAATACCTCCTTACTGGGTGGGATACAGTATGTAACCACAGACTGAACAAGAGCAACATAAACACGGTTAAGCAGTTTATAAGGCATAACATGGCGCAGTGTCTTAAAAATCCACTTTATTTTCCTTAACCTACTAATAACCAAATCAATATGGTTGTGCCAGGACAGTCTCTGGTCATCAAAAACACCAAGGTATTTTAGCGAGTTAACTTTTTGAATGGAACGACAATCCACAGCCAGCACTGCGAATATTAACCACAGTGATGTATAGTAATTTCAAACTTAGGGTCTGGTTGGGATCTCGGACTTGGAGTGAAACAGATGTATTTAGTCTTGGATATAGTTAGAGTAAGTAAATTTACGCTTAACCAGTCAGCTATCTGCCAGACCCAATTCAGTGAAATTCTGTACAGTGTCCCACCAAGGACCAAAAAATACAATGGCACTATTATCTGCATAAGAAAAATGTTTACCATTGTCAATTGTAAGCCTACACAAACGATCAATGTACACCAGAAAAAGTGTAGGGCCAAATACACTCCCTTGTGGAACACCGAAGACAACCTCTTCCTCATCACTGTAATAACTACCAATATACCAAACCTGTGTAGAAAGTAAGTTAAAGTTTGAATTTCATGGAACCACCATATGAGACAATAGAGTGGAGTTTAAACATGTTTGATTTAAATTAGATTTGAACCTTAATCATATAATTTACCTAATGCTAAAACGCCCCTGCCCTCTAGTATGAGCACCACGATATAATATATATATAGGCATTATGATATAGATAATACATATCAAATTACTGTGGAGTTTGACAGTTAGACGCGATAGAAAACGTGACATAATGTATACCTGTGGTATGGAGAACAGCTGCAGCAGATTCTGGACTTGCATGGATGCCGAGCTGGCGCCGGGGCCCAGGACCCCCAGCAGGGGCGCCCTGCCGCCCCAGGGCCCGTCGCCGTGGCTCGCAGTACGGCCCTGGAAAATCATTGATAATATCCTGCCTAATAAAATAAGAAATAAAGTTTTATAACCGACTGAATGTGAAAACAAGCGAAAAAGTATTAGTTTAAACAATTACAGGCTTTTAATGAGGGATTTTTAACTATAAATAAATAAATATTTCCAACACTCACACCAATTATCCAAAGTAAGCACTGTAGGCTTGGGCACGGTAATAATATCATATTACCGTGGCTTGGGTTTGTGTTATGGGATACTAACTAGGGTAACTGATAGAATACATATTTAATGATACATATATAAGTATATTTTTAAAGAAATACATAATAAACATCCGTGACTGGAGTACAAATGCTCGTACTCATCACACAAATATCTCCCCCACTGGGATTCGAACCCGGGACCACTCGAGTAGGCGACACCTTGAAAACTGACGTACAAACCACTCGGCCACACGGAGGTCGTCAACTATGTATTAAAATTATTTACTTTTAAAATGTTGGGGTAGTTTTTAAGATTTTTAGTTTTGTTTATATTGTTTGAATATTCAACTTTTTCACTCTTTTCAACATTAACACACTATCTCACACTAAACAAATACATACTTATTACATAGGCTTAGAAGGTCGGTTTAACTTTTTGTGTCATTATTCCGGGGATGTTGTTTAAGATTTGCGAGCACAATTAGTGAGACTGTTGAAACTGCAGCGGAACAGAAGTGAAGAACTCTTGGTGTCATGACAAGACACTGCGTGATGGAGGGCTGGAGCGGGGCGCGGCGTCTGAGGGCGACGTCAACCGGTTACACTCCGTGTGACCACAGAACATAGAAATCTGTGTTCTGTGATTGTGACCTACATCTGTTTATAAACCCTCTTTGGTATTTTATTATACCTTTATATTTGAATTTTTACTTGTTTTGTATTCTTTAATTAATATATATTTCGTGACAACTAACTAACATTTTTTTACATTAATTTCTACTATTGACATTGAATGAATGAATTGATAAAAAAATATGGTCTTGATCGAAGAAAAAAATATAAAAAGGTACTTTCTTAATTTCTTTAGAATAATTATCCAAAAATCTATGTTTCAAGTGTGCTTAATGAAATTATGACAAACTATTATTATAAGCTTAGTAATCAAAAATGTTATATTTTAGATTATAGGTAACAGAAAATTCGCCGACCTGAGTACAATTAGTTGAGATTTGCGATTGCGCGTGATCGGCGTCAGGCGCGATGGCGTCGCGCACCAGGTCGATGGTCTGCCGCAGCGCGGTGGGCGGCGCCCAGCACGAGTCGCGCAGCTCTGCGCCCAGCGGCAGCGCGCCCAGCAGCGCCGCGTCGGCGTTGATGGCGTCCAGCGCTAGGAGCGTCGCCTCCACGCGCTGGATGCCGTAGTGCTCGCGCACGGCGCCGCACCGGGCGCCCGCGCGCGCCTCCACCGGCGCCCCGTGCACCGCGAACAGCGCACCAAACCGGACCTACATTCAAATCGATCACAATTCCGTTCCTTCTAATATTATTAAGTTTGTAAGCTTGTGCGTTTGATACTCGATCACTCAAAAACTAGGCTTCTACTGAAATCTGACACGCATATAATTTATGATCGAGACATAGGATACTTTTTATCCCAGAAAAATGTTAGTTTCCTGTGGGAATCTCATAACATTAAAGTTACCGCGGAAACTTCGCGGGCGGCCGCGTGTAATAGCAATAATAGGAACTCAATTGACTCCAATGATGGAGAACACCTCGGAGAACGACATTAAAAAAAAGATAAGTATCTAAAAATTGACAATTTACATTCTCTATGCTCGGTGTATCCCACACCGAGCTTGTAAGTGATTGGCAAATAATAAAATGATGAGTGAGACGAGTACACATTCCTTTTGAAATCTCATTCATTGTACAACCAAAGTCTCTGTTTCCATGTATTTAACAGCTCAAGCAGTCCACTGTATTCACCTCGCCAGGAACTAACGCACGCTCTCCGCTGGCGGCCGCAGCCGCGCACGCCGGCAGCGCTGGCGCCAGCACAACCGAAGTCGCCGCCAGCAGCAGCGGCATCGCTCGCGCCGCACGCAGCGACATCCCGCACCGCGAGCGCGCTCACTCTCGAATGCCGTAAACGTGAAACGCGTTGTCGCCGGCACGCGGCGGCCCGTCGTTACGAGCAGCCAACGTCAACAACGGCCAAATGGGTGTCGTGCCATGCACACTGTAGGGTTCCGCAATGGCTGTTCATTACCATAACATAATACATTTAAAAAATAATACAATTAATTTTACATTTAAAAAGAGTCTTTATTTTAAGCAAATACTTCATTTAAGTAATTTTTTAAAAGTTCTTCTAGGAAATTTTTATTACGTTAGAAATTTTGTAATACATAAGGTGAACGAATATTACTTACTCATCCTTCTTAACCATCTGGGCTACGACTGGTATCTATAAAAGTAGAAACAAACTTTATGAATTGTATCATCTAAGATAATATAATCATTCGCAAGGTTTTATTGATTACGTTAAATGTTATTCTAAAACCTTCAAAAAAGTATGTGCAACAGCCAAATCTAATTTTATTAAAAACTAGCAAACCCCGCGAACTCCGTTTCGCCACCAGATGGCTTCGTTTTATGTAACATTTCGTTTGATTAAAAATTTTTTTTTTAATTTTTCCTGAATTTTCTTTGCTATAAACCTCACGGAGCCCGAGACCTTTCCAACGAATGCAAAACCGTGGAAATCGGCTCGTGCGTTCTGGAGTTATAGCGTCAGGAAGGAAAACCCGACTTATTTTTATATAGTAGATAAAATATGTAAATCGAATAATAAAATCAAAACAACGTGGAATGTTATAAATCGTGAAACAGGCAAAGAAAGGTCACGTGACGATATTGTTGAACTTAAGTCGAATAACATTCTAATAAAATCTAAAGAACATATCGCTAATATTTTTGATGAATATTTCGTTAATATTCCTTTGGTGGCTACATCTAATTTGAGTTCTTCATCGGTGGCTGCCAAGACATTGCTCGAGACATATGTACCTAGGTGTGATAACGTATTTCAGTTCAGACATATTAATTTTATTGATGTTATTAAGTGTTTTAAATCTATTAAACAAAAAAATACAAGTGATTTATGGGGTATTTCTACTAAAGTGATTAAAAGTATAATACCCGTTATTGCTCCTTATCTAGTTGATATATTTAATAACTGTATTGATCAAGGAGTATTTCCGGATTTAATGAAATACAGTAAAGTTATACGTCTTTTTAAATCAGGAAATAGAAATGACCCTGGAAACTATAGGCATATCAATATTACCAGTTCTTAGTAAAATATTTAAAAGAATTATTCTGGAACAATTGATGCCTCATTTCAACCTTAATAAACTTTTGCATAGGAAACAATTTGGTTTTACTAGAGGTAGATCTACTACTGATGCGGGTGTTGCACTTGTAAGGAGTATATTGGAGGCTTGGGAGATGTCGCAGAATGTCCTTGGAGTGTTCTGCGACTTATCCAAAGCTTTTGATTGCGTTGATCATCACACGCTGTCATTGAAATTGAGTCATTATGGAGTCAAAGGTACTGCATATAAATTGATACAGTCGTACCTCAGTTCCAGAATACAAACTGTAGAGGTAAATGGTGTTAGATCATCTGGATCTCATGTGCAAATGGGCGTTCCCCAGGGTTCAATTTTAGGACCCTTCGTGTTTCTAGTATATGTAAATGATTTGCCATTTTTTGTGGTTACTGTTTACTTTGTTCAGAAAATTGGCGGCATTTTCAGCATTTTCACTATCCACATTGAAACCATTAATGATATTGAACTCATCGTCCGAGTTTTCCATAGAACGGTGGAAAATTTCCAGTTGGTGGACTGTTACGGCCATAATTAGATCTTATGTCTGGTCTATTTCCACCGCTTCCTGATTCTCCTCCAATCACTCTCCCTTATGAAAGAGCTGTATTTTCCCCTCAGAAACAGAAGCGTGCTGGTGGATAAGCTAACTAGTGGTTTAACGACGTTTAATTGGTGCTTTAACGATCAAATCACTTCCCACAGTTTAATATCCATGACCAACTGCAACAATGAGGATACCACTAAATTTGCTACCCAGGAAATTTCTAAGCACAGGGACAGGTCGAGCCAAAATACTATTAGCAATTTTGGAGCTGCTCGTAGCCCTCTCTCGTAGTTCTCTGATTTTCTTTTCAGTTTCTTCATCTTCCCTTTTCCAAAATATTTAGCTATGATATAGATAATTGGCTGGTCTTGTTCTAGCTCAGATACAGGCGGGTTCGCAGGTACACTGATCTCAAAAGTTTCTTTCTTACTTTTGCGGTATTAAGGTTGTGATATTGTTCTTTGAATACCTGGAACATTCTGACATGTTACATTAGTGTGTACACCAGATGATGGCGCAGATTCTGGAGAGGGTGTGGTTTCTTTTGCACGGCTATAAATAGTATTTTCATCCCACCACCTCGGAAAGTGTAATTTTGCGCTTCGAAATCTGGCTGGAAAATTCTATTTTATTCGCTTGAGCGGCAAAGTAGATTTGAATTTAGAACATCACATATAATGAGTACTCAATATAATTGTAAATTCAAAACGTCATTAAACCTATTTAATGTAACCTCTATGGTGCCAAATTTATGATTAGAACTTTTTAAATTGTGAAAAAATTTAAATTTGGAACCTTCTTGGTTTCTTTGTTTTATTTGCGTGCTTCGCGCCATTCTAGTTTTTCACGTTTTATTGCTTAATATAATTAACATAACCTAAAAACTGTACAAAAAAATCAACTAAAATGAGTGACATTAGCGACGATGAAGTTTATCTAACGCCAACTGAGTTAACTGAAACAGTTAATAATGCGCAAATGAGCCTTCTCCCTCAGCAATCACGAGAGAAGTATTTGAAACAGTACGATATATTTAACATGTGGCGACTAGCTAAAGGAGCAAAAACTTTCTCCGAAAACGTTTTGCTGGCATATTTTATAGAATTATCTGAGACCAAGAAAGCAAGCACGCTATGGAGTACGTATTCAATGCTAAAATTAACAATTAAGATGAAGAAAGACGTTCATATCGACACCTATCATAAATTAGTGGCATTTTTAAAAAGAGCCTCATCTGGTTATAAACCAAAAAAATCGAAGGTTTTCACAGCATCTGAAATTGCAAAGTTTATTAATGAAGCACCTGATTCCGTATATTTAGCGGCAAAAGTAAGTCAATACGTGTAATTTTTTGTTGTTGATAAAATTGTACATAGTACTTACAATATTTTTAATTTGATTAATTTATTTACGATTATAAATACTTCTTTTGTTACAGGTTGTTCTTATTATTGGTATAACCGGAGCATGTCGAACAAATGAACTTACACTACTTAATGTCAATAACGTATCAAAATATTCTCATAATTCTGATGAATTGCTATTAATTAATGTACTAAATACCAAGACAAAAAAAGACCGCAACTTCGTTATTCGCAAGGAATATGTAAACATTGTTCAGAAATATCAAGCTTTACGTCCTTCTAACACCCCAATTGAACGATTTTTTCTACAATATCGCAACGGAAAGTGTATCCGACAACCTATGGGTCAGAATAAAATTGGCAGTATTCCACGAGAAATAGCAACTTTTCTCGGACTTTTAGAACCCCCGTTATACACCGGTCACTGTTTTAGAAGAACCTCAGCCACACTTTTGGCCGAATCAGGGGCTGATCTTCTATCGCTTAAGCGCCATGGAGGCTGGAAGTCTAATTCGGTTGTAGAGGGATACATAGAGGATTCAATCCAAAGTAAATCAAAAATTTGTAATAGTATCGTGGAGGCCATAACGCTGAAAGAACCTCTGTCAGATTCTTGGTCTCGCCCTTCTACATCTAAAATGAGCCCCCATAAGATTGGAAACAATAGCCCTCTCTCGCCAACATTTACGCCAATAGAATCCAATGAATCGGCACAACTATTTAAAATTACTGATACGAGTAGTTTACCACAAAACAGCGCACAATTCACAAACACCAACATAACATTACCTAACAAAAATATTAAACTTAACATAAGTAACTGTAGCAACGTTACATTTAATATTTCTTAATTATTTTCTACTTCTTATTATTTTCTTCAATTTATAGATTATCTTAATGTGTTTTAATTGAAATAAAAATATTTTGTCATTATAAATTGTTTTCTTTTTCATTTTGTCATTTCCTCGCTGAGGTGGGATGAAAAGTTACGTATTGCACTCGAGTGGAAAGATTTTTCACCTTGTGCTCGTTTGTTTCCTTCGCTTGCTCGGTCATCCAAATCGAGCACGCGGTTAAAAAGGAACTTTCCACTCTTGTATAATAAATAACTATTATTGTTTTCTCTCTGCAAGCGTAAAGACATGTTCTTTGTGACTTCCGTAAGGTGCGTCTCCACCGAGTATAGATGCGATGAATTTTCTTGGTTTTTTTGTGCGTTTCTCATGCGAATCCTTGGAATTACATTCTCCAAACATATAACGTTCTAAAACAACAAAAAGAAAAATTAAAAATTTAAAAATATAACATTTTACGTTCACAAGTTTGAATTGTAAGTTCAAAATGGGTTATATTGTGTCCTCGGCAAAGTTGGAAATGTATGCATGTGGCGTCAACAGTAACATTTTCCTGCGCACAAACCCACATAACAAAGTGTGAGTAAGGAGTATCATTGTAAATGGCGCGGCAGCAGCGAACAAACGAATTCAAATCAAATAGCCATTGACGCCACCGAGTTTTACCCATTCTGTCAATGGTAAATAAATAAATAAATGTTGAATATATACTTTGTACACGGAGGTGGATCTGTTCAGCACATTGGTGTACTACAACTTCCCCTGGCCATAAAAATCATTTTGCGGGTTCAATCGATAATCACCGGTGGCTAGTGCGTCACTTAGAAGAATAAAATAAAATCACTGCTTCAGTAATATTCACAATATTTTATTTGTGCTTCACAGACAATACATGACATATTGTTTTCAGTTTACTTATAATACAAGTTCACGTGATAACAAATTACATTAAACGCAGCGGCTGTGCCGGCGATGTTTCTAACACATTAATACGGCATTTCGCGACCATCGTTTTAAGTGAAGAATGCTCGCGCTAGTGATGCTCGATACAATGAAAGATGCGAATTTGCATGAATATTCCGTCCCGGGGCAATAACGGAGTTGGGAAACTTAGCCTTCTGAAGGCTACTTAAATAGTTTTATAGCTGGCCCAACAAGTTCGCCAGATTGAGTTCACAGATCGTATTATATTATATTTACCCTTATATAACTCGAACACCCTAAC